CATTGGGTTGGTCAATGGTAGGAGCTGGTTCAAGACCAAGAAAATGTCATTGTCTGACTTCATCATCACCAACCTGGCACTCTCGAGGATCATTCTGCTCTGGATTCTCTTGACTGATGGTTTTTTGATGATATTCTTTCCCAACGCACATGATTCCGGGATATCAATGCAAATTATTGATGTTTTCTGGACATTTATGAACCATCTGAACATTTGGCTGGCCACCTGTCTTGGTGTCTTCTACTGCCTGAAAATCGCCAGTTTCTCTCACCCCACATTCCTCTGGCTCAAGTGGAGAGTTTCTAGGGTGATTGTATGGATGCTGTTGGGTGCACTGCTCTTATCCTGTGGTAGTACCATATCTCTGACCAATGAGTTTAAGTTCTATTCTGTCCTTAGGGGAATTGAGGGCACCAGGAATATGACTGAGCATTTCAGAAAGATTAGTGAGTATTATCTGATCCATGTTCTCGGGACTTTGTGGAACCTGCCTCCCTTAATTGTGTCCTTGGCCACCTACTCTCTGCTCATCTTCTCCCTGGGGAGGCACACACGGCAGATGCTGCAAAATGGTACGAGCTCCAGAGATCCAAGCACAGAAGCCCACAAGAGGGCCATGAGAATCATCCTTTCCTTCTTTTTTCTCATCTTACTTTACTTTCTTGCCTTTTTAGTTGCATCGTCCAGTCATTTCCTACCAAAACCCAAGATTGCTGTGATGATTGGCGAAGTAATTACAATGTTTTGTCCTGCTGTCCATTCATGTATTCTCATTCTGGGGAACAACAAGCTGAAGCAGACATTTGTAGAGATGCTCCGATGTGAGTCTGGTCATCTGAAGCTCAGATCCAAGGGACTCATTTTCTCTTAGAGTAACAAAAGGCGTGGAGTGGAGCCTATGAGCTTTGTGGCCTGGCTCAAGACTACAGGACTCTTCCAGACCCTCTTATGGTACCAGTTCCATAACATCACTAGGAGAGAAACACTGACTGCTTTGTCTCTGGTCCCTGGGGACCTGTTTCAAGGCAAAAGCCACACTTCTCACGGCCTCTCTCTGTATGGTGGTTGTGGAGTGGGGAGGGTGCAGGAGTACAGTAGTGTTTTGGAAATGACAATGTGAGCGCACTCTCACTGTAAACACATGGTGCTGTATTTTAAAAATCATCAGCTCAACATAGTGACTCTGATTATTAGTTTCAACTTAAATTAGATACTAACAGCAATAAACATAATTACATAGTAGACTTGGAAGGAAAGAGCAAAAGTTTTGTAGTCCTGTAGATATGGGTTTGAATTCTGATTCTGGTCAAGATTTTTGGCCTCAGGTGAGTTACTTTATCTGTCTGATCCCTTGTTCTGATCTCTACTGGCCATTTTAGCACAGTGTGTTGTATAAAGTACTTAGTAAGTGAAGGCTATTATTGTAGCTAATATTGGATTGTGCAGCAACAGCAATTTCTAAATGATTCCAGTTTCTAAAAACTCATTGTGTGATGATGAAAACAGTGGAAAGAAGATCAAGACCTTTGGATTCTAGATTCCAATTCAATGTTGCATTTCATGATCATTCTGCTAAAGTACATTTTCAAGTAATTATTTTGTAGATTGGGCAAAAGACCAAGTAGTTTTATTTTTATTTTTTGTTTTTGACCAAGATGCCTACCCAGTTTTAAAATTACAGTTTTATCAGATGTAATAGAAACACATTTTATGTTTAATCAATTTTATTTAGGCATTGATTTACTTTTTGTTAACAATTTTGACATGTCAATGAAAAGATACTGCTTAATATCCTGAAGACTTCTCAAATATGTAAACATATTCATTTAGGATACATGGCATTATTCAGAAATGTGGATTTCTAGCACTAATGGGGCTCTCAGAAGTGGAGTGTTTGTGGCTAAGAATGTGGACCCTGAAACCAGACAACTTGTGTTTAAACCTGGCTTTGGCCCTTTTGAACTGGGTGACCTTGGGGAAACTTCTTAACCAGTCTCTAACTTTCTTCACTTGTGAAATAGAAAGAGTAATTGTGTCTGTGTGTGAGAGTGTGTGTTGGGATAAGGTTGTTGGAAGGAATGAGTGAATTAACACATGAAAAGTGCTTAGAGTGCTACATGGAGTAAATATACAATAAAACTATCGTTGTTGCTGTTATTTGGTGAAAAGGAGCATATTTTGATATAATAAAAAGGAGTATTACATTACGTGATTGGACATTTGGTCATATGTAACCAGAAGTTAATTTTAGGGTTGTTCTGGGATTTACATCTTCATTTCTAAAATGACAGGAATAAAACACCCTTTGGTCTGGACAGTGTGCATTATCCCATTGCAAACACCTCCCCAGCCAGCAGGTGGGGGCTCAGGAGAAAAATCATATTACTGCTAGATAAAATAAAGCACTGACTTGTTCACAATACATTTGAGCTGGCAGAGCGAGTAAATTCTGTTTGCCCCACTATAAATTGTCATTGTGACTTGGTGGAGCTGGGCCAATGGTCTAGGCAACATTTCCAGGTTAACTCTGAAATACATAATTTCAGGAGTTCTTGAGTGGAGTTTCCTGGCCATGTTCTGTCTAGTCTCAGTTTCCATTTGTGGCCAGACATGGTGTTCATAACCAGAGAGGAAAGATTTCTAAATTGTCCTTGGCTTTTCAGGCGTCTCCCCTTATTGCCCAGCTAGCAGATCCCCTTGAGAAACGGATGAGTTCTGGCAAGTGTCTGGATGTTGCTGTAATGTTCCAGGAATGAATACATTTATTGTTTCATTTTGATTCTGGCTAACCTTGATTCCAGTTCATTCCTTCCTCTCACAAATACTTATTTAATACTTGTGCACCAAGCATTGTATGAGACACTGTACGAGATGCTTGTTCTTGAACGCTGTTGCTGTTCTCAAAAACATTACATTTAGTGGGTAATAAAGACACAGAAACGTGTTTAATTTCTGCATCACTGGAACAGATGCTTCAGGTACAACAAAGGGATCATTCTGTCTTGAGGGTCCTGATGATACAGGTGATCTTTCTCTCTAGATCCCTTTTGTGGCAGCCATGAAAATGTGTGTTCAGATCTCTGCTGTGGAGGCACAATTGGCTGACAGCACTAGCTTTGGAGATCCCCTACCATGAGGCCACATTTCCTGCCAGTGGGCCACATTTCCTCCCAGCTAGTGGTGGAGCACTGTGGAGCACTAAGGCAGGTCTATTTTGTTGATATACATGGGACTCTTCCACCAGGCAATTTTGGCCTTATCAGGTTGATTAAAAAAAAAAAAAAAACCAGCTAGAAAGTTTACTTGTAGGTCAAATTCTCATTCAGAGGGAGAAAGGATTCTGTTAATACTTTTTCTATATAGACTCTTGCGGAAATAACTTGTAACTGAATGAGTTCATTCATTGATCATGCTAGCTAACCTTATCACATCTTAATTATAGCACTTCCTCCTACAAAGAACCCAACAGTTTGGTATATTACATTCTGGATAGAGACTGTTACTATCAATTCTAGGATTCCTGCTCTTTTGGCCACATTTATTTCTTGTGGCTTACTCTATATTATTTATTCTATTCAAATGTGATGTTAGTAATATTTCAACATCAATACTTTAATGCAGCCATCTATTTTATTTGGAACTCTGTGCCATAATTTTCCTTTTAGTCATAGTCTCATTCTGTTTGCCTGTGTAACTGATGTGGGCATGCCTCTATCAATGCTTATTAGTTTTGAATAAAAAGCTTCTGTAAGCACCTGGGCACCAGGTCAGAAAATTTCTCCAGGCTTGTGTTCCTGTCATCTGTCTTAAAGGGCCTCGTGAGTTTATTTGCCTCTTCTGGACCTGATTATCATTTTATCTTAGCTCCTTTTTCTTGTCTATTTCTATTTGGACTTGGCAGTAGGACTTCGTGCTGTACCTTGACGCTAGTTTGGTAACATGTGGCTGCATCCAGGATTATACCTTGGTTTCATTTAACTGCTAGAGTAGGTAAGAGATGCCATATTCTTACATCCCCCTATGGCCCTCCATAATATCCTTTGCCAGGGATATTGTGTCATATCCCATCTGAGCAAGTACAGAGAAATCCAGCAATGAGATGCCTAGCTATTTGGCTCATAAAATTACAATTAATGCATTACTGTGTATCTCATTCCAGGGTACCTGGATTGACAGTTAAATGCCTAAAAGAAAACAGCCACATGTGATCTAAATATAAATCCAGATTTATAAAGGAAACACCCACAAGGGCTGACTTGACTTTTTCTAAGAAAAACTAGAATGCAGCAAATGGTTATGGCACAAATCTATGTATGTAGATAAGGAATGTAAAACAAAGGAACCATCGTGAAAGGATGGGATTAATTGAGAAAAGTTTCCTCAAGGAGGTATTGGGTCTTTGATCTTGATCTAATAGATCACTGTAAATCACTATAGGTGCCAAAGTGAAAGAGTGGCATTGGCATGGCCAGAATTACAGTTGGAGAAACTGGTTGTGGCAGCAACAGATTAGATGGGAGAGAGAAATTAGGTTCCGGTCATCTATGAATATGTGGATAGGAGGTGGGTGGGTAGGAGTGAGGAATGAGGATTTCCACCATATTCTGGCGTATTTAGGAAGAAGCACTTTACTGTGAAGCAGTGACAGAAACATGGTTGGACTAGAGCTCTCCGATTTGGATTGTAAGTTTTTGGAGCCTGCTGCGACTCCTCCCTCTCGCCCTCCTGCTCCTGGAGTGACTCCTGGGATCACCTAGGCGTGTCGTAATTAGACATTTCTAAGGAGAATAGGATACAAATGAAGAAATAGTAATGCAATCCTCAGAAGATTTGCATCTCAGTAAAAGCAGCTGGCCCTTAGATCATGGATGGCTCATTTGCCATACTGGGGAAAAATTAAAAAGGAGATGTCTTTCCTGGCTGGATATTGGCCTCTGCTTGTACATTTCGGTATTCCTCCTGCCTCCACTATCATCACCATAACTGCTGACTCCTCAATGAGTGAAGATGCAGGAGTTACTTTATTTCTCTGCTACTATTGCCTCACTTATTTTAAATTTTGTGGGAATCATTATGAATCTGTTTATTACAGTGGTCAGTTGCAAAACTTGGGTCAAAAGCCACAGAATCTCCTCTTCTGATAGGATCCTGTTCAGCTTGGGCATCACCAGGTTTCTTCTGCTGGGACTATTTCTGCTGAACACCATCTACGTCATGTCTTCAAATACTGGAAGGTCAGTCTACCTGTCTGCTTTTTTTGTGTTGTGTTGGATGTTTTTGGACTCGACCAGTGTCTGGTTTGTGACCTTGCTCAACAGCTTGTACTGTGTGAAGATTACTAACTTCCAACACTCAGTGTTTCTCCTGCTGAAGCGGAATATCTCCCCAAAGACTCCCAGGCTGCTGCTGGCCTCTGTGCTGATTTCTGCTTTCAACACTTTCCTGTACATTATACTTAGCCAGACATCACCTTTTCCTGAACTGGTGACTAAGAGAAATGACACATCATTTAATGTCAATGATGGTATCTTGTCTTTAGTGGCCTCTTTCTTCTTGAGCTCATTTCTCCAGTTGATCATTAATGTGACTTCGGCTTCCTTGCTAATATACTCCTTGAGGAGGCATATACGGAAGATGCAGAGAAATGCCACTGGTTTCTGGAATCCCCAGATGGAAGCTCATGTAGGTGCTATGAAGCTGATGATCTATTTCCTCATCCTCTACATTCCGTATTCAGTTGCTACACTGCTCAATTATCTTCCCTTTTATGTAGGGTTGGGTATGGGGGCCAAATTCATTTGTGTGATTTTTGCCACCCTTTACTCTCCAGGACATTCTGTTCTCATTATTATCACACATCCTAAACTGAAAACAACAGCTAAGAAGATTCTTTGTTTCAAAAAATAGTGGAATTTCAGTAAACAATGCCTAGATTCACCTGATGGTTTAGGGGCAAGATTTTCTGTTGGCAGTTTTCCCAGTAGTTTGAGGAATTCGGTTTTGTGATTGCTGATCTGATATCCTAGGCTTTTCAGTACCTGTATTTCAGTTCATTCTGTAATTTTTTTTGATATGTAGGTATTTTAAAATAAGGCACATTCTCTAATAAACTTTTTTGAGGGATTATTTATCATGCATTTTGCGTGGCCATTGCATCCGCAGATAATGGAGATCACCACATCGTTTCATTGTCTATTAAAGTATAATGGGAAATTCTTCTGAATTAGAGAATACATTGGGGTGCACATGATGAGTTATTGTTTGTGGTTTAGTTGAGGAGCTCTGAGTAAGGGCTCAGCAGTGGCTAGGTGGCCACTGGGAGCCACTAGACTGACTGAAAGCAAAGGAAGGGGGTGCAGTGCGAAGAGAAAAGGAAAAAAAGAAGGTTTCAGACAGAAAAGAAGGAAAGAGAAAGGTGAAAAGAAATAGGTGTACACTGTGGGACAAGACAGAAAAAGTGTCCTCGCACTTGCTGGAAAACAGAAACTGAGCTATTCCTACCAAGAAACTCTAAGTTTCTAGACTTGTTCTGGAAAAGAGGATAGTGCCAGAGTTCTTAAGTAGAGGGAAGTGATTGGTATTCAAGAAACTGAATCCAGAATAGTTCCAAAGATCTTAAAATCCAGGGGAGGCAGCCTAAGGTCAAAGGCAAGTACCAAATAGTGAAGTTAACACCATATGAGTAGAAATTTACAAAATACTGTACCTCACCATAGGATATGGAATTCAGTGGAAAGCCAAAGAAGTACTGGACAGGTAGTGGGAGTGCTTGACTTGGGGTGAATTTATTTCATCTGCTTCTACATTTGTGCACAGCACAGTTCTTCTCCAGACTGTTGTTCTCGAGATGGGACAATAAGACTGTGGTTCCAGAAGAAAGAGAATCTGAAGATGGGATGTTGACAGGGTTTGGAATGTGAATTGGGGAATCATGATTTGTATTTATTTAGGATTTTTTTGTGTTCATAAAATGCTTATGTAATATTTATACATGTCTAAATAAATTTTAAAGTTTTATAAATTACCAGACTTTTCTCATTCTGGCCACCAGAATCTTGACTGCAATATTCAGTAAAAACTACCAAAGCCAGTATTTTGTGCTATGACACCCAGAGGTATTCATCCTGTTAAATCACAAGAGTAAGAGATAAAAGGAATACTGAGAGCGATTAAAAGCACACTGTGTCTTAAGAACTCTAAATGGGTGGCAGAAACCCTCATTGGTCCCTTAGTATCTGCTTTCTCTCCTCTCTTCCGTAGTGATCAAATTGTTAGCTATTCAGAATTTTGGCAGCAAATTACATTATTGCCATGTCTGTGAGCAGAAAAGATGTATATAGTTTCTAGGGGGTGCTTCAGAACAGTCCTGCCTTCCCTTCTTTTATCTTTTCTTCTTTACCCCCTCCATGAGCTGGAATCTGATGTCAGGATTGTCTATCTTAGACAGTGCAGATGAGGTGAATGCTTGGGATAATGGAGTAATTCTCCATCCTAGAGCTGGCTCCATGATTCTAGACACTGTGGACTTGTCATACCAGCTCTGGACTGCTCCAGCCTGAACTCCAGGACTGTTTGTGAGAAATCAGTGTCTCCATTCTTTCAGGTGCTGGGTTTTTGGTCTCTGTTACTTTAGTCAAATAACCTATCCCATACTCTAAATATATACAATAATATATATATGATATATAATATATATTATATGTATAAATATAATGTATATTTTGTGGTGAAATAGTATGTATTTACCATATTATAGTCAATGAACATTTTTTTTTTTTTGAGATGGAGTCTTACTCTCTCTCCCAGGCTAGAGTGCAGTGGCATGATCTTGGCTCACTGCAACCTCTGCCTCCCAGGTTCAAGCGATTCTCCTGCCTCAGCCTCCTGAGTAGCTGGGACTACAGGTACCTGCCACTGTGCCTGGCTAATTTTTTTATTTTTAGTAGAGACAGGATTTCACCATGTTGTCAGGGTGGTCTCAAACTCCTGACCTCGTGGTCCATCCACCTCAGCTTCCCAAATTCTAGGATTAGAGGTGTGAGCCACAGTACCTGGCCCAAAGAACGTTTTTATATGACCTACTAAGTGCAATTGAAATAAAATCTGTACATGTGGTATAATGTCATTTTTTGGTAAAAATGAATATATATGAAGAAAAGTCTAAAAGGAAATGCATCAAAATGTAAACTAACTATTTTAGGTGGTAGGAATTGAATAATTTTTTTGTATATTTCAAGTTTTCTGTGATGAACATTTTTATATAATCAAAAAACCTTTAAAAATATATGAAGTATATATAGTCTATCTATCTATCTATCTATCTATCTATCTATCTACTTACCTACCTACCTACCTACCTACCTATCTCATACCTAAAAGACACAGAAGGAGTCCTGAGGTCCAAATCCAGTTTGTCCTCACTAAGAAAGGTAAGTGAATTGTCTTCTTGCTTTGTCTGGATTCTTTTTCTTGTATTGGCAAAGTTCTGCCAATTTCTTTCCTGATTTGTCCTACACTGTCTTCAGTTTTCCCCTCTCTGGATTGGATGTGTTGTCTTTGTGTTAGGACTATTTTTGCTGTTTGAAGCAAGTTTTGAGTCTTTGCTTAGGCACTTGCCCTAAGTCCCCTTTGGGCACAGTTTTTAAGACTGCTGTGTGTTTAGAGTTTTCCTGGTTCTAACATGCTTTGCTAAATACCCACCACTAACCACTTGTTAGCCAGGGACTTAAAACATTTGGTTTTTGGTTTGATTTTTTCAAGACACAGTAACTTACAGGCTCTCCAATAAAAATAACATCCTGCCTACCCCTCCCTTTCCTGCAGTAGGTAGAGAATAGAGGGAGACTAAAAGCTCTTTGTTAAGAAGTCACTTTCTGACGTGAAGGGCAGGTGTCACAACAGTGTAGAACCTCATGAAACACTCATTGTGGTAACTATAACTCATGATCATTGCCATTTCTTTTTTTTTTTTTCCTCTTCTCTTTTTTTTTTTTTTTAATTTTTTATTGGATTTTAGGTTTTGGGGTACATGAGCAGAGCATGCAAGACAGTTGCGTAGGTACACACATGGCAGTGTGCTTTGCTTTCCTTTTCCCCTTCACCCACGTTTGGCATTTCTCCCCAGGCTATCCCTCCCCACCTCCCCCTCCCACTGGCCCTCCCCTTTTCCCCCCATTAGACCCCAGTGTTTAGTACTCCCCTTTCTGTGTCCATGTGTTCTCATTTTTCATCACCCGCCTATGAGTGAGAATATGCGGTGTTTCATTTTCTGTTCTTGTGTCAGTTTGCTGAGAATGATGTTCTCCAGATTCATCCATGTCCCTACAAACAACACAAACTCATCATTTCTGATTGCTGCATAATATTCCATGGTGTATATGTGCCACATTTTCCCGATCCCGTCTATTATCAATGGGCATTTGGGTTGATTCCAGGTCTTTGCTATTGTAAACAGTGCTGCAATGAACATTCGTGTACATGTGTCCTTATAGTAGAACGATTTATAGTCTTTTGGATATATACCCAGTAATGGGATTGCTGGATCAAATGGAATTTCTGTTTCTAAGGCCTTGAGGAATCGCCACACTGTCTTCCACAATGGTTGAACTAATTTACACTCCCACCAACAGTGTAAAAGTGTTCCTTTTTCTCCACATCCTCTCCAGCATCTGTTGTCTCCAGATTTTTTAATGGTCGCCATTCTAACTGGCGTGAGATGGTTTCTCAATGTGGTTTTGATTTGCATCTCTCTGATGACCAGTGACGATGAGCATTTTTTCATATGATTGTTGGCCTCATATATGTCTTCTTTTGTAAAGTGTCTGTTCATATCCTTTGCCCACTTTTGAATGGGCTTGTTTGTTTTCTTCCTGTAAATCTGTTTGAGTTCTTTGTAAATTCTGGATATCAGCCCTTTGTCAGATGGGTAAACTGCAAAAATTTTTTCCCATTCTGTTGGTTGCCGATCCACTCTAGTGACTGTTTCTTTTGCCGTGCAGAAGCTGTGGATTTTAATTAGGTCCCATTTGTCTATTTTGGCTTTTGTTGCCAATGCTTTTGGTGTTTTGTTCATGAAGTCTTTGCCTACTCCTATGTCCTGGATGGTTTTGCCTAGATTTCCTTCTAGGGTTTTTATGGTGCCAGGTCTTATGTTTAAGTCTTTGATCCATCTGGAGTTAATTTTAGTGTAAGGTGTCAGGAAGGGGTCCAGTTTCTGCTTTCTGCACATGGCTTGCCAGTTTTCCCAACACCATTTGTTAAACAGGGAATCCTTTCCCCATTGCTTGTTTTTGTCAGGTTTATCAAAGATTGTATAGTTGTAGATATGTTGTGTTGCCTCCGGTGCCTCTGTTTTTTTCCATCTTTTGACTGCTACACGCCCAATACTGTATGAGCTACATTTCCACGTGTGATTTTTTTAGCTGGTCCTAACCTCTTTAGTATGGTAGTTATTATTGTCTCCATTATATAGTTGAGAAAATTAAGGCACAAATAAACCATATGAATGGTTCATAATAGCAGAACTAGGAAAGAATAGATCCAGAGCTTCAAGTATAGTCTCTGAAAGTATGAAATTATTGTGGGTGCTTGGTTTCGTTAGCTGAAATGAATGTCATGGTGTCACAGAGACTCTGGACTTCTAGGCCTTGAGATTTATAGGAGATGTGTTTTTAAATGAAAAAGTAGTTACATTAAAGAAGAAAAAATTATTAGATATCTTTTGAATGTTGCTACTTGGGAAGGAATAGGCCAACAGAAATATGATGAGAAGGTAGATACAATTTCTGTAAGAACTAAATGAAATTCTTAAAAATTTCAAAGATTTTTAAGGTTTCTTTATAGCACTTAAATTTCACTTAAACATTTTTAAATATGTCTGGCTTTGGGTTTCCCTGATCATTGTTACTAGCATTCTGTTGATAAACCATTTTCAATTGTTAAAAAAAGAGAAAAGATTACTAGAAAGGAGTCTTTTAAAGCATGAACAGAATGTAACTTTTAAGGTAGCCTCAAAAGCCACAGTCTTTAGGTGAAATTGAAGCTTACTGAAGGCATTTAAAATAAATTTTTCAATAATATAATTTTTTTTTTTACAAGTTAAAGCTGGAGGTGGATCATCTAGTCTAGTTCACTGGTGCTCAAAGAAGGCTGGGAGGGTGAGAAGTACATCAGAGTCCACTGGGAATTTTTATTTTTCAAATTTTATACTCTGCCTTAATTCCTTCTGGGTGTGGGAGTGGAAGGGGGAAGTGGAATTTGACAAAACTCCCTAGGGAATTGGATATTGTGGTCTAAGGAAAGACACAGATACACATTTCCCCCTCTAAGAGAAGAGCACAGGCCAGTTTTACTCCATGAGGAAAAAAGTGTGAAAAAAAAATCCATGTTGCTATAAGAATTTGCCTGGCATAGAAATTAACAAGAAAGTGATATGGGTTAATGGGGGTGGGAGAAGAGGAGAGGAAAGGGAAGACGTGAGGATAAGGGCAACAGCAGGAGGAGGGGTGCAGTCTGTAAACCCTCCTCCCTATGCCTGGTGGAGGTGTAAGGTCAACATCACTTCGCTACGGTGTGATTATCTGGATTATGTCTATGTGGATATATGGGGTCTGGGAAATGGGGTGACTGTAACTCTACCTTGAGTCAGCAGGAAGGAGCCAGGAGCCAGGAGCCCTGGGAAAATGACTGGGTGTGTGCAGTCATTTTAGATATAAGATATCTAAATACAGGTACATACTTGATTGGTCTGATAACATTTCTGACCTATTTTAAATATGGAAAAATTATTTCTCTCAATTTTGCTACTTTCACAGATGGGACAATGGCTGTGGTTATAATGATCTGAAATCCAGGTATCTCAAGAGAAGAAATAGCTGGATATTGATATTACTCAGAAAAGATCTCTCCTAACTCCCATCTATCCCTTTACATCTTTGGCTTCTATGTGTCTTAAAGGCCTGGGTTAATTAGTCTCTCATCTTTACTTATGCTTTCCAGAGATCCTGGAATTGTGCAGAACTGGACACCTGTGTCTAGAATTAGTAGCTCAGTTCATCTTGGATTTGCATACTGTGAATAACAGACTTCAGGTGCTCTCTGACTTTATTGAAATTAGTACTTAGGGAGAGAAATCGCCAAGGAAAGGAAGAAAAATAACACTAATTAGACTATTTGGGGAGCATCAGGCTAGGTAATTTCTTTTATCATCACAATAGCCCTGTGAGGTAAACATTATCATCATCATTTTTACAGAGGGGGAACTGAAGCTCAGAGGAGTTAATTGACTTCTTTAAGGACCTACCTGCTAACTGGTTGAGTTGGGAGCACCCCCAAATCTGTTTGACTTCAAAACGCATTGCCTTTCTCTGGATGGCCACAGTGCCCCATTGATTAATACATGTAACAGAAAGCTAGTCGTGAGGTCTGTGTCCCATTGAGGGCCAGTACTAGCATGAACCTAAGAACTCTTTGCTTTGAATGGGCAGACACCCAGAAAGTCCTGTCTGTAGTCTGTCCTGCTTGACCCTTTGCTTAGTGTGATTTTGCAATGTTATGGGAACACCTCAGTGTTCTCTGGATACACACAATTCTTATTGCTAAATGCTAAAAATGTAATTCTCAATGCTAAAAAATGTAATTATTAGATCTGAGTTTTATTTAAATTTTAAAAATAATGTTTTAATTTCATTTTATTTTATAGAAAAGTTGCAGAGTAAGTACAGAGAGTTCAAATATCACCCTCGCCCAGTTTCTGCTAATGTTTATATCTTACCATAACCATGGTACAGGTGGACTTAGTATCTCTACTCTGCGTCAGTTTCTCAGCTCTTTTTAAAATTACCTTGACAGTTTTTTTTTTTTTTTTTTTTTTTTTTTTTTTTTTTAATAAGGATGGGGTTTCACCATGATGGCCAGGATAGTCTTGAACTTCTGACTCCATCCACCTCGGCCTCCCAAAGTGCCAGGATTACAGGCGTGAACCACAGTGCCTGGCCGCCTTGACAGTTTTAAAGATTACTATTCAGGCATTTCATAGAACGTCCCTCAATTTGGGTTTGTCTGATGTTTTTGTCAGTCAGACTGACGTAAAGTGCCCTAGTCGTCACGTTAGGAGTTATGTGATATCAACATGACTGGTCACTGGTGACGTTAACCTTGATCACTTGGTCAAGGTGGTGTCTGCCAGGAACATTGCAAAGTTACTATTTTCCCCCCCATTTCCATACTTGGTTCTTTGGGAGCAAGTCATTGAGTCCAATCCAAACTCAGAGGGAGGGAAATTAAGCTGCACCTCCTGGAGAGTTCCCCACATTTTGCCTGCTGTAGTTAAAAATTCTCAGCCCTCCAAATTTCATATTCATAAAAGCATACAATTAACTTCCCCTCCCTTCATCTGCAGTCCCCTCACTAGCCCACTTTTACTGTATTCACTTTCCTTCCCTGAGCAACGCTGCTGATGCGGGTCATTTTCTTCGTCGGGGCTGTGATCTTTGCTGCACACAGCACCTTCCATGGTGTAGTTAGCGCTTCCTCCTCTCTCCCAGCGCCTAAATTGCAGCTCCAAAGAGGCCACAATGGCTAGTGAGCAAGACTCCTCCTCATACGGTTGTGAGGAAGGAAGCGGGCAAGACTATGAATTTGTGTATATTCATAAATTGTGTTTCTGGTACACGTGCTTATGAAAAACATGCTTGACCTGTTCAATTTATGAATATCTGGACTATTTCAGCTCATTAAGGGAATTTGCTTAGGTCAACAGCTTTTACAGAGGAGTTGTCTTGACGCCATCTAGTGGCAAAATAGGCACAATTCTAAGAAGCATTTTAAAAAGTCCCTGGAACAGGAAGGTTTGCAAGTGAGATGTAGAAGAGGGGATAGGAGATGGAACTGTACTGGGTCTGGTAGCAGAAGGGGGCAGTTTTTTTTTTGGTGAAAGTGCCAAGTTTTCAAAACCAATGCTTGTTCTTTGTTTCATTCTTTTTAATATTCTTATTATAGGTTGCTCTGTTGATGCTAGCATCCCGCTTGATCTTTCATCAGTTTTCTTTACTTGGTTCAGGTACTGCCGAAGTAGCTGAAGGCTCAGAGCAGTGGGGAATAGGAGCGTGAATAGAAGGGACTTTGGTAGAAAGAGGTATGGTAGTATCATAGCAGACACATTTTGGTCGTGTCAAAAGTGAAAACCAATACTGTGGCTCTGTTAAAGTGAATGGCACTGAGGCTATTATTCTCCACATACACCCCTGCAATGCAGCTCTGGGCGTGGATGCCAATAGGCTGGACAGTTCTGTGTGGAGATTTAAGTAGCAGCCATGGGTCACAGAGTTCTCTCCTGCCTGACCTCTCCTAGAATTTATTATTCAGCATTTGATGTTTATCCTGCCTTCTTGTTTTCGCTTGTTTGCTCACCCTATCCTTCCCTTTGTTTTCATTGTCATTGCAGTAAGCCTTTCCACAGGTGTAAATATAGCTCTTGTGTTTATATATTCAAATTACAAACATATTAAAACCATCAATTACTTGCCTCACCCACCAGAATGTAAGCTCCATGAGAGCAGCAACTTTGTTTCTTTCCACTGTATCCCAAGATCTTGGAACAGAGGCCTGGCACATAGTAGTCATTCATAAATATTTGCTAAATAATTGATAAATTTCATGCTTTCCCTTTTTATAACACAAGGTGCCTTGCATTTGCCACTGTTTAAATTCTCAGAATGTCTTATTTAGCTTTTGTGGAGTTAGGTTGGGTGAAAGAAGGATTTCAGGAAACTGTGCTCTAGGCTGTCTGGATTTTAGCTCTTTTCTTCAGAAGGCCATTCCATAACTGTGGCTCTGTACTTAATCTCAGATCCCAGGCCAGCGTCATGTAGATGTAAATGAAGGTGGAACTGTTACCTTCAAGAATGTTTCTTCTGTTCACAGCTGCAATATCTTTGCCAGAGAATGGATTTCAGACAGTAGCAAAATCTGAGTTGTGAGAGGTGTTTTACCATAATACTGACAGCATCTTCAGGGATTCTGACATGGCCAGGAGCAGGACATACTCATCAGCACTGAAGCAGGGCACCTCCTGATTCAGCAGTGAGACATTCACCTTCCCAGCCACGTTGACTGCTGCCCTAGGACTGCTGATGCCAGTTGCAGTGGCTGAATTTCTTATTGGCCTGGTTGGAAATAGAGTCCCTGTAGTCTGGAGTTTTAGAGAACGGGTCAAAAAATGTAAGAAGTCCCTATAAATCTTCATTAAGCCACTTTTGCCTGCTCAGGCTGATCCTGTTGGACTTAATCTGTTTCCACTTTCCCAGAGCAGTAGTTGGCTTTACTATCTTAATGTCTTCTGAGTCCTGGTAAGCCAGGTCACCATGTGCTTTGCTACTTTCTTCAGTGGCTTCTGCTGCATGAAGATCATGAACTTTGCCTCCCTGACTTCTTATAGCTGAAGAAGAGGGCTTGGAGGCTGGGTTTTTGTTTTTTGCTAGTGTCTTTCCAGATCACTTTTTATTTCTCAGCTCTTGTTGGCTGGATGCTTTAAAAACCATTAACAGGAAATAGCAGCATCCTCCATCCCATTTTAAACTTGTTATTTTTATAGATTGCAGTCTAGTGCAGGAAACTGATTGCTATTTGTGGTGTTCCTGTTCTACTTGTCTTTTTGTGTAGACATCACAGGAAGACGGAGGACTACACAGCTGTACGGAGGAGGCTTGAACCACGGTGCATGTCGCTCTGGCTCTGAACTTCCCCCTTTACATGGTTTCTGCGTTGGCCAGCCACTTTTCCATAACCTTCTACTCTTCCTCTGATCTCACCATTCTTGCCATCTCTGCAGCACTCATGGCTGCCTCTGTTTCACTTCCCTCTATTGTAAGGGTTATGAGGAATCAGACTTGTCAGAGAATTCTGTGGGCGATAATATGTGCTTGGAAATCCCAGAGGCCACGATGTGGGAGAAGGATCTAATCAGGCCCTTAACTGTATCATTGACAACAACAAAAATAATTGTAGGTTTTTAGTAAAATAAAATTTTTATTCTCAATTCTCCTTCTCAATTCTTCTTTGATTTTGAAATAAAATGAAAAACAGGATAGAAATTGGAGCTTATTGCACTCTAAGTGATGCAAATCACATTATTTTAATAAACTACAGAAGTCAAAACTGAGTTTTCATATTTTACATGGAAAGTATCACATTTAAAAAAAATTACTGCAGATAATCCAATTTCCATTGCCAATACACTATGTTTTTGATAAAAGGAAGTATCAAATAGCTATAGTTTGAAAATAATATATTTTAAAAAGAAGTGAACCTGTATGTTAATTGCTGGATTTTTTTAGGCAAGCACTTTTCTTAGTGGAATTAGCTACGTTAGTATCTCAATTTTCCATGTGGTTTAGCCTGTCAACACCGGTGGTAAAGTAGTCTGCCAAAAATCCTATCTTTATATTTCTAGATATTTTGTTTTTTTTTTATGCCAGGCTAGGTTTCCGGTAATATATCAGTTGGCTACCAGGATCTGTGGCAGATTCCTCTGCAAGGCTAGACTGGGGCAGTTGGGGAGAGAGAGGCAATATGACTCTATCAGAAAGTTGCCAAAGAAAGGCTGCTTTTGGATAGTTTCAAGCCTCCCCTAGGTTTTCTGGCCAGTAGAAGATCATGACCTTCTCTGCCCCTCCATATCCTACAGCCAGAGTTTTAGAATGCTAGCTCTTGCAGCTGGGTGGAGATGATGTACAATGAATACTACGTGGAGGCAGGGACTGTGTATTATAATGGTATCATCCCCTGCGCCTAGTACACTGTAGCTTGACACAAAATAAGCACTCTGCAAATCTACTCAAGAAATGGAAATCTAGCCCTACAATCCATCCAGTTATTAGTAGAGCAACTGAGGCCTAGAGAGGGGCAGTGACCTACCTGCCTACAGCTTCACAGAGAGTTCTCATCATGCTTACATTATTGTTTTTGGTGGGGGATGGAGTCTTGCTCTGTTGCCCAGGCTGGAGTGCAATGGTGCAATCTTGGCCCACTGGAGCTTCTGCCTCCTGGGTTCAAGTGATTCTCCTTCCTCAGCCTCCTGAGTATTTGGGACTACAGATACCTGCCACCATGCCTGGATAATTTTTCTAGATATGGGGTTTCACCATATTGGCCAGTGTTGGGATTACAGGTGTTAGCCACTGTGCCCAGCCCAATGTTCTCTTTATGAAAATAAAATTTCTTTTTTTTAATATATAGCATATGCGCTTATAACTGGCACTGTATAGAGCATGCGCATGTTTTGATTTGGTCTTTCTTGTTGAGGGGTCTTGTTACACTGTATCCTGGTGTCTAGACTTTGGCCCGCGACCTTTGAGATGGAGATCCAGTGTCTGTGGTACTGTTTGCCATCTCTGGGTCTACACTCAGGGTTCCTTCATGTAGATGCAAATACAGAGGCTATCATAATTTCCAACCTCTCTGTTCCTCGTCATAGCTATTCAGTCTTGTTTGAAGATAGATTACAGAAGGACAAGGTCAAATCCAGATTTTGTGGTGTGAAAATTTACCCTGGTGTGTTATCGCTACCAGGGGATCTGACCTCAGCCAGGAGCAGTGAGAGCCTCCCCTCCCCAGCCATGCTGAGTACTGCCCTAGGACTGCTGATGCTGGTAGCAGTGGTTGAATTTCTCATCGGTTTAATTGGAAATGGAGTCCTCGTGGTCTGGAGTTTTAGGGAATGGATCAGAAAATTCAGCTGGTCCTCATATAACCTCATTATCCTGGGCCTGGCTGGCTGCCGATTTCTCCTGCAGTGGCTGATCATTTTGGACTTAAGCTTGTTTCCACTTTTCCAGAGCAGCCTTTGGCTTCGCTATCTTAGTGTCTTCTGGGTCCTGGTAAGCCAAGCCAGCTTGTGGTTTGCCACCTTCCTCGGTGTCTTCTATTGCAAGAAGATCACAACCTGTGATCATCCTGCCTGCTTGTGGTTGAAGCAGAGGGCCTGTAACCTGAGTCTCTTGTGCCTTCTGTGGTACTTTATAATCAATTTGTTACTTACGGTCCGAATGGGTTTAACATTCTCTCATCCTCCCCAAGGAAACAGCACCATGCTATATCTCTTTGCAAACTGGCAGTACTTCTATGTATTTCAGCTCAATTCAGGAAGTTGGTTGCCTTTCATAGTGTTTCTTGTTTCCTCTGGGATGCTGATTGTCTCTTTGTATACACACCACAGGAAGATGAAGGTCCATTCAGTTGGTAGGAGGGATGCCCGAGCCAAGGCTCACATCACTGCCCTGAAGTCCTTGGGCTGCTTCCTCGTACTTCACCTGGTTTATGTCATTGCCAGCCCCTTCTCCATCACCTCCAAGGCTTATCCTCCTAATCTCACCAATGTCTTCATCTCTGAGACATTCATGGCTGCCTATCCTTCTCTTCATTCCCTCATACTGATCATGGGGATTCCTAAGGTGAAGCAGACTTGTCAGAAGATTCTGCGGAAGACAGTGTGTGCTCGGAGATGCTGGGGCCCATGATCTGGGGAGAAACATGTGGTCAGGGCACTCTTGGGATGCTCTGTTGATAGCTCTCTATAAGGGAGCTGCCTTTCATGTCTTTTAAGATTTTCCTTCTTTTACTCCAATTTATGAATGAGCAACAGAAAATACGGATCGAAACCCAATACTATTTCTCTTTTGGCAATACAAAATACATTTTTTTAATGTACTACAGAAATCAAGGTTAGGGCTTCATGTTTGGTGAAAGGTATTATATTCTGTCTCTATATAGCAAATAATTCATATAAAAATTGTGTTTTTCCTATTATAGAAAACAGATTAGGAACAATTATAGTGATTGTTAAATTTTATGAAATTACATTAATGTTAGTCATTTTAGATAGACTTTTAAAAAAAGCATGAAATAATTTCCCCATTTCTCTGCTGTAATGACTCTAATTATATAACTGAAAAACAAAACAAAGCATCTTATATTTCTGGAAGTTTCTTGGAGCCCCAGTCTTGGCTTTCAGAATAAAAGTCAGTTGGATGCCACTATCTGTATTAAGCTCCAAGGCTCAGGACCTGGAGTTGGGCAACATGAGAGTGAGGGGCACTTGCTTCTGCTTAAAAAAAAAAAAAGACTGCTTTTGAAGAGGTCATGCTGTCTCCTCTTCAGGCATTTAGCCGTTTTGCCTGTCCACTGTGGCCGCACCATAGCCTACAGTCAGAGTTCTAGTGTGCCAGGTCTTTGAGTTGGAGGGAAGTCATTGAGAATGCCAGATCCATGGCAGCAGGAGCTGTGTCTGTTTTTATTTTCTCTTATGTCTCTGGAGACTAGAACAACTGCCTATCCCATAATAAACAATAAATACTTGGTGAACGATTGATTAGCTGTACTAACTACTCTTACAACACCTCCTTTGTATTATAGGTAAAGAAACTGAGGCCTGAGAGGGGCAGTGTCCTGCCCAGGTTTCATAGAGAGCTTGTGTCAGTGCTGGGACTAGAACTGTTTCTTGACTCTTGGTCCAGGGCCCTTTGCTTTACAACATGCTACTTTCATAACGAGCTAACTTGCCCTTCCCTCCTTTGAATCCCATCCCTCTTGCTGCAGGCTTTTCTATGCACCTCTTTCTCCACCTTCTTTCTAGCCTTCTTTGTTTCAGTTCTGGGGGATCTGAAATCTAAATGGTGTTCCTGATGTTCTTAAACGTTCTTTTCTGCTTCCTATTGACCATACGAATCTACTTTCATTAATCTATTCTCTCAAACATATCTTTTTCTTACCTGAAGCTCAGAATTGAGGTACATGCTAGGCAATGTGGATATCAGTCATCACACAGGGGGAGACTAGTTCCACTGTCACTGTGAGTTGTATGAGGTCAAGTACCATATTTTGTGTCCTGGGAAGGATCATATTCATTCTTTTTAAATAGAAAGGTGCTGCTTCTTGGTTATATATTTGTTAGTAGAATTAATTTTCATTATGCCATTTCTATTTTTTTACAGATGTCCTTTGTGACCAGTTGCTGTAATAATGATAATAGTATTTAATATTTGTATTGGGCTTTACATTTTACCAGACAATCTCACATATAGTTCATTATCTCATTTTATTTTAATAGCAACTCTATGCAGTTAGCAGTTTTATCCCCAGTTTACAGGTGACAAGGCTGGAGTGATGATTTGCCCAAGTTCATCAACTTGTAAATAATGTAGATGGAGTAGTCCCAGATTTTTTGACTCCAAGTCTTGTGCTCTTTCCAGTAAATTCTAAGTAGCTCATTGTTCATATTTGTAAGAATTCAAAATAGGATTAGCCTGTGGATTTCCTTCTTTTTCTGTACACAATTTAGCTTATGATGGGTATGAGACTGCTTTGTGTTTTAGCAAAGAAAACAAATCCAAAGGCAAATATATACTCTTGAATTAATTCCTATGTAATTGAATCTTTTATAATTTGCATATTTAGAGTTGCAGCTGGATCCATGTGCATCTGTGTGTGTGTGTGTGTGTGTGTGTGTATGTGTGTGTATTAATGGCCTTACATTTAATTACGTGATATGCTCTGTGGTGGTGTAGCCTAGAGGAGGTGTGAAACGTTAAAAATGTGATAATATGAGCATGGCTAAAAATGAATTGAACAGCACAGAAAGGTAGAAAATGAACAGTAACGTTTTCCCATTCCACCTTCCATTATCAGTCCTACTACCTGGATAGAATTGTATCTTATCACTTGTGTTAGTTCTTTTAGTGGTTATTTTTTACAATTCTAAATAGTAAGATTTTGGCTCTTTTACTTGTCTTATCAGCTTTAAACTGTAGCTTTTGTGTCTCATTCATCAAGGTTTGGGGATTATCTCATTTTACCCCTAATCAAATTTCCTCTCCTAAATTTGATTGGTTTTGTCATTCTGATAGTCATTACTTTTACAATTATAAGTAATATATTTTCAACCCTGCTTTTTGAACCATGCCTTATGACAATATCCATAGAGTCCTAGTTATGTAGGAGGAAGAAATGAGTGGTTTACCTGTCCTGCACTTCTCCCATATCTCAACTTCTGTCACCTGTGCTATCAGTTATGAATGACATAGTCCAACTTCATATGACTTAAGGAGAAAATATACTTATTGAAAGGAAATTGACTACATTATAGAATCAAGGAGAAGGCTGGAGAATCAACCTCAGAATGGGAACCAAGACGGGCTAAGTAGACGAAAACACAGTCAAGTCATGCTCCAGGGACTGATGCTGGCACCACCTTTCCCATTTCAGCTGTCAGCACTGTGTCATTGACACTGCCACTGCCTCTGAGAATGTGTCTCTTTGAGCCATTCTTGGGATTCTTGGGTGGGATTCTTGGCTGGCTGATTCTAAATCACATGCCTACCCTAGCTGACAAGCCCTAGGGTGAGGAAAAGTCAGATTTCCCTTTGACTTCTGAAATATACGTTTTAAAATTAGGTGAAATAAATTATTCTACCATGGATTTAAGCAGCACAATGGGAACAGCTGCTGGTGTGGAATTAATGCACTGGAAGGCCAGCTCTAGAAACTCGCAGGAGATGTGACGAAGTAATAAAGGCATGGAAAATTTAAAAGCAAAGCAATATGACACACAGAAATAAAAGGACAATCATAGGAATGGTTGGAGCCCCAGAAGGAGATGAAAAAAATGAGCACAAGGAATGAAATATTTGAAGAATTAATTAATGATCAAGAATTGCATTACGTTAATGATGAAAAAGGACAGACTAAAAGGGCTCAAGGGATGTTGAAGACAGATGAAGTGGGAGGAATTCGTCTCACTTAAACACATTGTAGAGATTTAAGAATATCAAAGACAAAGGAAATTTTACAAAACTTTGAAAGAACAGATCAAGAATCAGATTGACATTTCTCAGGAGAATACAGCAAAAGATTTCTAAATGACATTTTATTCTAGTAAATATTTTGTTCTTATTTTCAAGTAACACCAAGAAGAAAAGTTTAGAAATATTTTTTCTGACTAGGAACATATTTTATATTAATTATAAATGGGGAGTTAATTCTAAAAATGCCAGTGAAGGCTCAGTGGGTTGATTGTCATAAGGTTAGTGAGAAAATTCTGAAATATTTGAACAATCAAAGAAAATCTTAAAACTAAAGGATTTGGAGAGATTGTGATGTCACATTTATAAATGAATTAAAGGAGTCAATGTAGCATAGAATTGGAGATGACTCTGGAAGGAAAAAAATAGCACAGGTTATTACCAGTGCATCAGAATTTGTTGGGTGCAGCAACGGAAACAGGAAAAATTAAACATTTCAACTGAAGACAAAGAAACAAGTGGGTCAACTTTCTCCCAGTTAAAGGGAAAGCCTTAGCAATATATGAGCATCTTAAGAAAGAAACTGAACACTTTGCTGCAGTGATCTCCTTTAGTGGAAGCTGTGGAGTGGCTTCAAGGACTTCCACATTCTGCACACCTGTTGAATTATTAGTGAAACTGAGTGAAGATTAAATAGCAGCAAAAACATTTCTCCTGTGTTTTAAAAAGTGTATTGATAGATAAGGTTGTACTCTTGTTCGGATTTTAAAATTTTACCTTTTTTTACTTGACAAATAGTAATTGTATATATTCATGGGGTACCTAGTGATGTTTTGATACACATAATGTAATTGTGATCACATCAGGGGAATCAGCACATCTGTCATCTCAAACATTTATCATTTCTTTGTGTTGAGAACATTCAATATTCTCTTAGTTATGTGAAATGATATAATAGATTATTGTTAACTATAGTCATCCTACACTGGTTCAGATTTTGTAATGAAATTAATCTCTGAAAATTAATTCTCAAAGATCTATCTATACTTTGAAAGAAACGTAAGCCCCAGTATAAAGGCTGAGAATGAATGACTGACAGATGTTGAATGCAAAGGCTATAGACATATATCATTCTAGGATTTTTATTAGGGTTGTTTTTATTTCAGTTGGTATTCTGTAGGTACACAGTTACATGGGTTTTCAATAGTCTTCTCCAACCTTATTCTGTCCCATCCCCAAATAAACTCTTATATTTTGTGCATGATTTTGCAGAATTTAAAGTTTTATAAGAACATATATATCACTTTATGAAGGAAGGCCTGTGTATACCTTATAGGTTGTCATGAAGATTAAATGAATTAATAGATGTAAAGGGCTTAAAAGAGTACCTGGTATGTAATAATGGATATAATTTTTAATCTTTAGTATTATTATCATACTGCTATTTAGGAAAAATAATTTATTTACACTTTTGACAAATAATGTAAATTATGGGGTACACAGTGATAGCGATGTTATATATATATATATATATATATATACACACACACACACATATATATACACACACACACAGTATGGAATGATTGAATCAAGTTAATTAATATATCTGTCACCCTTAAAACTTGTTTATTCCACTTGTGTAACTTAACTGTAACATTTTACTCTTTGACCAACATTTCCTGATTTTCTCCACCGCCCAGCCTCTGGTAACTATCATCCTACACTCTGCTTCTATGAGTTTGAATGTTTTAGATTCCACATGTAAGTGAGATCATGAGGTGTTTGTCTTTCTGTGCCTGGCTTATTTCATTTAGCATAAGGTCCTCGGATTTATTCACATTGTCTGAAATGACAGGATTTAGAAGAAATAATCTAAAATATTTGTACTCGCAAAGAATAATAAAGAGATAAAGAAAATAGA